CACTGACACCCCAAGGGTCATATTTTTTTTTTATTGTCTAAAACGATGCAAGTTGTAGTCATAGACAGGCAAAAAAAAAAAAACTCGTCGGAAAAAAATAAAATTTCCTCTGCCGCTCCTCGCCTCCTCGGTTCTTTTGATCGGTGACGTCAAAAATCAGGAAATTTAGAAGCTTTATAGGCGACATTTTACAACATTTAATGACGGCAATTGTAAAACATGTTTTTTAACGCAATTGCGAACGCACTACGGCCCTTCTTTTTGAAATACCAAAAATCTGAGTTCGTTGTGATGTTGTCTCCTAAATTTGTATCCTCCCTTGGAAAACATGCTGCCTGGGCAGGCGACACCGCTCAAAACCGTTTTTTTTCGGTCTGCCGGCACCCTCATCTGCCGCTCCTTTTCTCCTCGCTCTGTGTCGCGATGGCAAGAGCACGGAGTTGTGAAAGAAAGTGGACTCTCAGGACTCCGCAATATTTGACGTCAACGCACCGGCACGGATCGTGCGGGAACTTCGAATTCGGCATTTGGAAATTGTTTTTTACTTCACAAATACTGAATTCTAAAGTTTAGAATTTTGAAAGTAATGTCCCAACACCGTTTTCGATCGTTTCGGATAATAAAAAAAAAAATATTTTTATGTGTCAGTGCCCCTTTCAGAACATGGCTATCATGTGGTATGTGATGTCATATGATCCTCTATGCAACGACGGGCGGGATTGGGGCGGGCGTGTGCCAGGCGCAAGTGTCGTCTGCACCGAACCTTTCACCACGTTTTGGTGTCTTACGACATTCAACGACATCCGCACAACTGCGGCATAAGTATGCGCAGGTTGTGTCCGTAGAGGGAACGAAACTCCGAGAGAAAACAATCACAAATGGTGAGACAATGACGACGGTGGTTGTGACGTGGGGGACGGCAGTAACGGAGGGACCATGGTGGCAGGACAGCCGGACGGCTCCCAAGAAGTGTGCTGCGCAAATGCGTTACGCCAATCACGTGGACACCGCTGAGCGCAGAGAGGAAACGTTTCTGATGTCACCCGTTACGCTTGCCTGGAGAATTAAAAACAAGTAAAAAGGGGCAATGGGGATGACATTCAGCTCAATGTTGGCTACACCCATGCCGTAGCCTTGACTTCGCTGTTGGTTGCGCCTCAATTCGCCAGCACGAGTCGGCCGATTCTGGCAACTTGGAGAGTAGCATAGTTTGCTGGACCGTTTAAGAAACATTTAGACGTAACTAGTTCGTAATATTCGACGTGTGGCCTTCCTAGGTGATACTGAACAGGACTGCATTGTTTTTTCAAAAACAAAAATGAAGCGGAGTTGCCCTTTAGCGCCACGAGTGCATGATTATTTTACATTGTTTAGAACAGACAAAAGGAGTTCTGACTCTCTTCAAAATATGGGTCATAAAAATCGCAATCGATTGCACTACATTTGTTGTAGAAAATGGTGTGTTGAACCGTCGAACCGCGACTTGGACTTTTGCTTGGTGTGTCAGAAGCTTTGCCGTTTCTTTTGCACTGGTCAAAAAACATCAAGGAGGCAATGTTTGCTTTCACAACACTTAATTTAACATCCAAGTCGTTTAGTACCCACCCCAGACTCGTCATGCACGAACAAAAAAAAAAATTAAACGAAACGACAAACCCACAAACACATGCTAAGCGAGACTGGCGAGACTTTACAACCGATCGAAGACACTCAACCGATCAAAGACGCTCTCACATGCCTATGCTACTGGAGACACGGAGATACAAAAATCAATCGAAACTCTCAGTGGTGCATAGTCTTACGTTTGTTACTTGCAGATAAAAGATAAAGGCATATCCAGCTTGCCTTTGTTGAGGGTTAAAAAATGTATGGAAGAGTAGCTGCTGAAAAGACTTGTGAGAGCGCAGCATCGCCATCAGACGATGTCACTGTTACATCTGAAAGGAATTGTTCAACTGCCTACCACCAAGGCACGCACTTACTAAATGAGACATTTCCAGTGTCCAATAGGACCGAAGCTTCTTAGGCATGTGACGCAGTGACATGCGACTCCATCAACAAAACAACACCGTCCAAAACCAAATAGAAGAAACAGCAACCACTGCAGACACTGTGGCAGCTATGGTACATGCCGAGAAAATAAAGCTGCTATTTTGACAGAAGACGTCATAATGCCCCGTCTTGTCGATTATTCAAACGCAATAACTTAAACCTACTGGTATCAGACAAAGAAGGAGGTTTTGTAGTGCTTCCTCGTTCTAACTACCTAGACAAGGCTTATGAAGCAATTAATAAGAACTTCAACCAGTTGTTTGATGTCAAGACCAAAAGAGTAAAGGCGAAGGCGCTCCAAATGTGCCATAGGCTTGAGTTGACTCAATTAAGGAAGTTGATTTCTGCTACTACAAAGAACCAGTTGGACATGTTTTTCACCACAAAAACCCACAAGACAGGATGCCCTTTCCGTGTAGTGGTTACGGAGAAAGGATCGTGGCAAGGGGCTATGTCTCGGTTTCTCCTACGACAATTGTCCCATCTTCATCTGGATGATTCATTTCTGGTAAAAAACTCAGAGGAGATAATTTGTTACCTGGAGCAAGATTTCACTACAGCCCGTTATGGGTTTTCTCTTGACGTGGAAGACTTGTTTTATTCGATCCCACATAATAAGCTGTTTACAGCAGTGGGGGAATGCATAGAAGCAAACGGTTCAGTTCCTTTTCAAAACCAATATGGCATGCCGGTGGAATCTTTTTTAGAACTTCTGAGGTTTTACCTTTCTGCCACTCTGGTCAATTTTCATGGCAAGACCTACATGCAAAAGAAGGGCATTTGTATAGGGTCATGTGTAGCTCCTATCTTGTGCGACATTTTCTTGTCTCAATGTGATAGAGAGATAGCCAACAGAACGTCTACCAAACAAATTTCCCGTATTTTTCGATACGTGGCTGACTACTTGGTTCTACTCACATGTTGTCCGGATGACAAAGAGGCACAAGTAATCAACAGCATACGTACAGACTTCTTGGAAGGAGGAAAGGGCCTCAATTTCACTTTTGAGACACCAGCGAATGCGGTCCTGCAATTTTTCGACCTCAGGCTGACGTTCACTCCAGACCATACATGCTGGACGTACTCCCCACGAACCCAGGAAGAACTTTTACAGTTTGACTCGGCCCATTCCAAGCTCATAAAACGCGGTATTGTTACCAGTTGCTTGAGTGCAGCACTAAAGAAATCTTTTGCACATTCAGCAAGTGATAGTTTTAATGCCCAAGTGCAAAGACTCAAGTCTTCTGGGTACCCAAGTTCCCTGTTGTATGAAGTCGCTGAGTGTTTGATTCCTTCACGCGGTAAACGAGACAAAGAAAGGGACAGAAGACACCGACCAACAGTCCTGCCATACATTCATCGTATTTCGTATAACTTAAAGAAGGTGGCCTCCAAGTTCCATGTTGAAGTCGTGCTATCTGCACCGGATAAGTTGAAGAAGCTCTGTCCGAATATCAACAACACGCAGATACTACATGCACAATGTGGAGTAAACCATCGACACAAATACGTGGACTGCAGCTGTGGTGTAATCTATGAGATACCGTTAACATACGGAAAAGTGTATGTGGGCCAGACAGGACGATGTGTTAATGACCGTCTTAGAGAACATGCTCTTGCACTAAAGTCGTCACCAGCAGGACACCTCGCCGTGCATGTACGAGACTGTCACTGCTCGCCTTTGTTGAACAACACCAAAGTGCTGAGGCGTGACGGTGAAAAACGAGCTAGAGAACTTTTCGAGGCGCAAACCATCATCACGCGCGGGAACACCTGCGTCAGCGCCCCTTCGGTGACCCTTTCACCAAAAGAACTTCACTATCTTGAACTCCACCAGTAATGATCCATACACCGCAAGAAGTGTGTATTGTACATTAAGATAGAATTTTAACTTGTGTTTCACATTAGGTCCGACGAAGTGTTCAACATCTGAACGTTGTGGCTTATTTTCTGAGATTTTTTCTTATTTCTTCTTCCTTTAGTACAGCAACCCAAGGTAGTCACGATTTTGGCGTTTTTCTTCTTCTTTTATCAAGACAACCTAGGGCGCGGTTGTATTTTCGTTGGGTTTTCCTCTTCCTTTTATTGTTAAAATGCTTCACTTCCTTCTTGTCTTTTTCTATTAAAACGTCAGTTGTGAGTCGCGCTCTGTCCTGTCTGTTTTACCTTTCTCTTCTCTTGTCGTTTGCGCTAATTTTATCTGATCATGTTTAACCAACTAGCCCAACAGATGGTATTGACATAATAACAAAGTTGTTATTTTAATAAAATACGTCAAAACTAAAAAAAAAAATTACCATGTTTTTTTAGAAGTGACGGTACGATTCTGGAGATAATTTTTAAAATTATTTTGACAGTGGCCATTGAAATAGTCACTGCCTTTATCGAAATTGGGGAACCCCGAAAAACCCCGTGTTGTGTTCTCCTCGAATAACGAAAAGCCGTGCTTCATGGGGGGCAAATCTTTGTCTGCAGGTTTATTTTGTGTCAACCAGCAGCATGAACCCCAGTGCACTGTCTGCGAGGCTTCTCCTTGCTTCAGAATGGCCAATTTTATCTCGGCTAATTTTTTTATCGGTACTGGGACGTTCTCCAAGTAGTCGGGTTATGCATATGTTTCCTGGGATTGGGGAGTCACATGCCCGTGTCCTATTTTCTTCAACACGAGCCCCTTTAAACCCTAAATTTTCGTCCGACTTGGAAAAAAAAAGAAAAACCCTTAAAAACAGCCCCCGCAGTTCAAACATACTAAGTCTGCCATCCACAAAATCTATAGAGTCTCGTCGTAGTGAGTGATTTTGAGGAAACGAGTCCTTGCGTAAATAGCCTGCACCGCGCAAAGTTTTAACTCTTAAATGCGCACAGTCCACAGACCATGGTCCGGAAGATACGGTTGTCACTCCGAAGATTGAGTGTTCTCGTTTTCTCTCCTTCCTTGCACCATGCAGGCTCGATGGGGTTCATGCCCAAGACAATGTCGATCCTGGGGCAGGGCGGGGCCCACTTTCCGCATGCCTACGTGTCCACGCCCATGTGCTGTCCGTCCCGGAGCTCCCTGCTGACGGGCCTGTACGCCCACAACCACCAGGTGCACACCAACAACGACAACTGCTCCTCCCCGCAGTGGCAGCAGGAGTTTGAGTCGCGCTCCTTCGCCACCTACCTCAGCAGCGCTGGCTACCGAACAGGTGGGGTGCCTTGCCGGTCTTTGTTCTTCGTGGTCGCCAACAGAGCGAGAACAGTGAAGCGTGTCTTTCTTTCAAATGCCGGGCCTCTAGCGTGCGCCCCATGCCTTCCGCAGCGCTTTGGCCACTCTCAGGCGCCCGGGGCGCGCGAGGCATTTTAAGTGTCGTCAGAGGTAGGAAGCTTGCGCTGGAGGCGGGACAACTGAAGTTCCTCCCTGCTGTTCTCACTTTGTAAGCGACTGTAGTCATTAAACTTCATTCGTTGAACTTCATTCCACTTTCGGATCTGTGATGTTTGCACGGAAGGCCTATAGGGCTAGGGATCAGTCGTAAAAATGTCTCGAGAAAGTGTCAGAAAAAGATTGACAGGGGGGTTTTGTGTGCCAACCCAGCGAAGGGCATCTGCCACGCCCCGGTGGAGGACCGGGGGTTAATATAGAACGCTTGGGGATCTTTCAACGTGCAATCGTCTCTGTCAGAGTGTGGGCACCTCATTCGGGATTTGAACCTGCTGTATCATTAGCGACAAAACGAATGTGGTGCAGTCAAACCTGTTTATAACGAACAGCAGGAAGCGCCACGATCAGTTCGATATAGCAAGTAGTTCAATATAGCAAAAACCCTTACAGGGAACTTCCACAATTCGTTCATTATATGCTGGTCATTTTGCCAAAAGTAAACAATTTGTGCCACTTATCACCCAAGAAATACATTGATAAAAATGTTTGTGCATGCGTGCATCTTTTTTTAGCTTATCTTCCCTTTTGAATCGCTTCTCTTCGTAAAAAAACGCTTTGTGCTGAATTTTTTTTTTTTTTCTGTGCCCCTTTAGCAGGATTGTTTTTCTTCGCTCATTTTTCTTTGCGGCTTGAGCTTCTGGAATTTTCTTTCTTTCCTAATTTTTTTTCTTTTTTTGGAGGGGGGTCTTTAGTCCACCCTACGATGGACTAAAGACAAAAGCTACTGACCACCAGATCCAGTCACAAGCCACTTAGAAATTGCCTGGTATTTGGCTTCAATGCATGTGTCGGTGCTCGCGTCTAATGGGGATGGGCGGACACTGGTTCGAATTGAATAGCACTGAATGACTCACCAATTTTACATCGCAAAGAAAGCGACAACATTCAGGCTCTTTGCAGTGTTGAAGCTACAGAAATTATGCAGCACTTTTTGATTCGGAGCATTATTCGTCCACCCCTAATAAATGTTAATCATGTCATAGTTTAACGTGTAACATGATTGGATCTGGCGGCCTCTGGCTTTGACTTTTAGTCAATCGTAGGATGAGACAAAGTATAGGAGTATAGGAGACGATTGTTTGCGCATTTCTGGAAGCCTTCCCGCGGGGAAAAAGTTTGATATAGCCAATATGTTGTTCCTTCTAAAAAGTACTTTTTACACGCATTTTTGTTCAACTTTTCCGTGAGTTCGATATCGACAATAATTCGCCGTACGTGGGTTCGTTCTAAACGGGTTTCACTGTAGTGCCACGCCCCAGTGGGAGGTCGGCTTGGATTGGCTCGGCCAATGGCCGATACATCCCCTTTTCTTTATTGAAAAAATAAAAATGAATAATGCGAAAACATACTCACGTTGAAGCCACTTCGTTCATTTGATGTTGCACCGTCGCACCTCTTGCTGGAAGTTCTCGTCGTAAGTCAAGCGGCGTGGCTGGCGCACCTGTTGGGACGCTCTCGCTTCGGCGGAGGGGATGATGGAGATGATCGAGGATTTAGACCAGTGGTACTGCTGGTGCTGTAGTGCTGAGCTGCCAACTGAGGCGGTGTGGTAGGCGGCAGACCTTCTTCATCAGTGTCGGCTTCATTCGAGGAAGTGTGCGACCCTTGTGTTTTGAGAAAATGCCGACAGTTTAGGCGCATTTTTCGACCCCGTTCCGTGTGAAGTCGATACGACCTTGGTCCTTCGCCGCACACAACCTGCACTTTTGTGTCCCAGGACTTGATGCCTCTAAATCAAACTTTCTCGCCACCTTCCAAGGGAACGAGGCAGTGTCCCCAATTCATGTTCTGGGTATATTTGCGTATGGGGCATGCTGGACTGGTAGCAAAGTCTGGCAGAAGCAGGGGGATGGCATCATGTGATTTTTTTGAAGCCTAGTCATAAAAAAATGTCGGCCCGGAAGTGCCCCGGTTGGCGGTGTACTCTAAAATTCTGCCTCGTTCGGTGGGATTTACGAGTTACGGAGCCGTCGAAACAGACGGGTGGAATTAAGACGGCGAGTTAGGCTGGTTGGTCCTAGAGCTCTAGTTGGTCCTGTCTGCATCTATTCTCGTATCCCTTTTGTTTTGGCGTTTAACTTTAAGCATAACGGACGGAGCGGACCGAGGAGCGACGCGGCGATGCCCGAGATCGTCGAGATGCGGAGTCTGCGAACCATCAAGCGTGAAATCCGCGTGAGAACGCAGAGCACCGCTTGAGCAACAGTTCTGACGACGGAGAACGACATCAAAGGTGTAGTCTCTATCGAAGGGTCACCTTGCAAAGTGTTTGCGATCGCGGCGGTCACGCTTGATTGTGTGGACGAATCGTGCTGGTGTTTCCTAACCGCGATGGGATTGTGTAGTGTACAAAATTGCAGTAATCGGTCCGAGCGGTCGAAAAAGTCGCCCACTGATGTTTCGTTTCATCGATGAGTGCGTTCACCCTTTGCTGATGAAATGCTTCATTGGCAAAGACATCTTTAGTTCATTAAATGACCACATGCTTGACAGTGAACCTATAAAGAACCACGTTTATCATCTCATGCGGTCTGTATGCACAGAAGTACCTGGACATCAGACAGCGAAGCATAAGCACTGTGTCCACAGATGTACTCCAACTAAAAGTAAGGCGAAGGCACATCGAATTCGCACAGTTCAAAGGCCAGTAGCCATATGTATATAAGCCAGATTAAACAGATTACCATGTCTTATGTCAGCCTTGTAATTATTTTGTCCGTCTGAGTATCTTATAAGTCAATGTTGTGTTGCAGATCTATTGATATGCTGTAAATGAGTGTTGTATATATTGTTTTTATTTTCAAAGTGATTCTAATGTAAATAAAATACGGGAACTAAGACACCTTGAGACAAGTGGAACTAGGCTTTACTCGCGGTGACAAAAGGAAGCTGCCTCAGCAAGGTAAGTTGATATCCCACGAGCTCAGCAGGAGGGGTATAGAGTTCACCATGATTCGTTTTCATTCCTGTGTCGGATCTTCCGAATTTTCGGGCGGACGCCTCGCATCGCTAAATCATTTCTTGTTGCCGAAGACATCGAGATGACACCGTCTGCTCTTGTGCGTTTTCGCAAAAAAAAAAAAAAAAGGTTTTTTTTTTTTATCAGTTTGGAAGAGAAAGCTAAAGCACACGGAAGGACCGCTGCCCAGGACCGGCTCGCTCGAATGCAGCGTCTCAGCTGAGACGGACTTAAAAAAGCACTGTCAAGGTTGGAGCGCGCGAGTGCGTAAAACGGGATTTAAGATTGAGCGCTGCCTCTGACAGCGCTTTCATGAGACAGTCTCTGCTGAGACGCTGCTTCGAGCGAGCCGCTCGACTTACATTACGAAGCCTCCTAGAGATTCACCAACGACGTAGGTGCACCGCGAAGAAGCAGACGCTACAAATCCGACACCCACCTTCAGCGCTCACTGCCTACTCCGTAAACACAAGGCAAAAGATAAGCAGACGCTACGAATCCGACACCCAGCGCTTCCGCGCTCGCTGCCTATTCCGTAAATACAAGGCAAAAGAAAGACAAGCAGACGCTACAAATCCGACAGCCACCAACTCCGCGCTCACTGCCTACTCCGTAGATTGAACATACTACAGCTCACCATAATAGCGCCTCTACTAGAACCTACCGGAAAAAGTCCCGTGCCGGGGCCGACTCGTCCCGAGATGCATACCGTTTCCGGAAAAAATCTGAGGAGGGTAGGAGGAGAGGCGGCTTCAGAAGAAGTTGCCTTGCGGAGGCTAGGCTCGTGACGTCATGCCATCCCCCTGGGCAGAAGAGTGTGCGGCCTGCGACCCATTAGTGGTTCTGTTGGAGTTGCTCCCACTCTCGAGTGGTGTCGCTTTGTAATTCGGTAGGCCTAGCCAAAAATATTCGCCGGAGTGTGCACATTTCTTGAGGAGCTTCTTTACTACCTGGACACCTTTTTCTGCGAGGCCATTGGATTTGGTGAAGTATGGGCTGGAGGTCGCATGCACAAAATTGAAGTGTGAGGCGAAATCGGAGAATTCTCGTGCCATGAACTGGGGTCCACCACCTGTACATTCTTCCGTAGGTATTCCGTGTCTTGATAAAACGCTTGACATAGAGTCAATAACTGTTTTTGACGTTGTGTTCTGGGGTTCAGCATTTTCTGGAGAATTGGAATAGGAGTTGTGAATGACCATGTAGGTCCTTCCAGCAAATTGACACACGTCTGCCCCAACTCTTGCCCAGGGCTACCGGGGGGTCTCGCGGAGCATCAGTGGTTCATCTGAATGACGATAGGCAATGTGTTCACGTGGAAGGCATTTGCTGATCCACGCAGCAAAATCTGTGGTTATTCCCGGCCAAAGCATTAATTGCCTCGCGTGATATTTGCATTTTACCACCCCCAGATGTCCGCAGTGCACGCGCTGCAGCACCTCTGATCTTAGGTTTTGTGGAATAACCACCTTCGAGCCCTTCAGGAGTACACCATTGTCTACTGAAAGTTCAAGTTGGAATGGCTTAAACTTGCCTTGCAATGGTGCTTTCTTCATCAGATCATCGATGACATCCTGAAGTTTTCCATCCTGCGCAGTTTCTTTGACGAGTCGTGTCCTGGTCTTGTCACTCACAACGGTAGACGGGATAGATGCCACACGGACTTCAACGTCGTCCTTGGTCGCATCAGTGGTTGCCGTTGTCAGGTGGGACAGTGCATCTGCCAGCACAAGTTGCTTGCCGGGGACAAACTATAATGTGGAGGCGTGGTGGCATGTCTCTAATGGTCTTTTGTGCAGTCGCTA